AAGAAGAAGAAGAAGAAGAAGAAGAAGAAGAAGAAGAAGAAGAAGAAGAAGAAGAAGAAGAAGAAGAAGAAAAGAGGAATATTTGAAAGTAAAATGTCAGTATTTCCTTATATCAGCCAACAAGAACTTACCTTGAGGGCCAGGCTTTCCACTTTTCTGATAATATTCCTCTGTCTTTCTGCTTTCTTGTGAATCTTCTGGATCTTCCTCTCCTTGAAATGAATATTTTTCTGAATTTCTGTGACTAACAGAGAGAGAGAGAGAGGTGTATGTATCAAATAACAGCTTAAACTAATGGACAGGTCCCCAAGTCAATTAGACTTCTACATCTGAGCAAGAACTTCACTTATATAGCTTTGCTTTCAGTGTGCTTAGACTTAGTCTTTAGCACTGTCACCTCCCACGTCTCATCTGTGTATCTTTCCCTCTGACTTACCTACTGATCTGGCACCTTCCTTTGTCTTATGCTGACTATATTCAATAATCTTGGCCCGTAGCTGCCTTTCCAGAGCCTCTTCAAAGTCATCGTCATTATCCTCCTCTCCCTCCTCATCGTCATCTTCATCGTCCTCCTCCTCCTTCTCCTCACACTCATCCTCGTCATCATGTGTGTTACTACTAGAATCACGGAAAGTATCTTGAAGCACATCAAATTCTATTGGTTTTAAGGAAAAGGAAAGTGAAACATGTGCACTTCTGCAAATAGTGCCCATTTCAGCAAAAAATACACTTTTTGCTCTTAAAATGACTGGATAACCAGTGAATTCTATAAATCATCTTTTTTACAGGAAGATTATTCTCTTCATGAACAAGGACAGTAAATACAAAATGCTGACATCCATTTATTTATTCAATGGTCAAGACATTTAGACAATCTAAGAATATATAGGAAATTGAATACAAGGATAGTTAGGAAATTAGAAGATTTCATTTTATTTCATTTTATTTTTAAACAGTGAGTAATCTTATTCTTTTTTTCCATTATTTTGTTTTATTTGTTTATTTATTTTTGGTGCTGGGGATTGAACTTGGGACCTTGCACTTGCCAGGCAGGTGCTTATTCCTCTGAGCTATCTCCCCAGCCCCTTAGATGGGAAATTAGAATTTCAGTCTAAAACCTTTATAGTACTAGGGGTCAGTAAGAGGAAAGAGAGGCAATATCATCCTTTTTCTGATGTTGACCTGTGAGTCAATGGAGAATGATCTTTGGCATTCAGTCAATATCTGGTCCATCTAAAGCCTCTGCTCTGCCTTTACTCAAGTACCTGATGTGGTATCACCCTGCTTGGAAGCACCCATTGCTGAGGACAATGGCGTGTTTGGAACGTAGCCTTGACTTTCTATTTCCTTGGTTTCTTCATCAGTAATGACTTCCCATCCTGAAAGGAGGGAGCTGTTAAGGAAAATGCAGAGGGAAAGGAGAAGGCATAGTTGAATGGGAAGAGATCCTTTGGCTGAAATTGCTTTTTAGTTAAGTACAACTTTTGGTCATTTGTACCTATTCTGAGTGTGGAGAAGTACCTTATATTGAATTATGCAAGTAAATAATACCTATTACAGGTATTTACTGTTCCTAGCTAGAAAGTTACATTTCTAATAAATCTCAAGTTCTACACATCCAAATTCGCACATCAATACCAGAAGTTAAGTTTGTCAGTACATGCATATGGAGTGGAGCAGGCTACATAGAAAACATCTGGTATGAAGGATACGGGCACTGATAGCTTCAGAATCAGAACACAGCAATCTCTTCACTTCCTTTTCCACATCTGGAGCTTCCATGTACTAAAGCAAAGTGTGAGAAGAACTATCAGTAATGTCATTTAACACCTTACATATTGCAGGAATCCCCTTTTCCTACATACGAATAAGTTCAAATGATTAGGCCAATTAGTTGCTTATCTGATCGAAGTTCTACTTTAAGTAGTGCAATTTATGGAGGACTAAATTAGCTATGGTCTATATTTTATACAGTTCGCTTATTTTTCCCAATTAAATTACTTGAGACATTTAATCTATTCATTGTGCAGTTCTATAGTAAAAGCCTCTTTGAAAGGTTAAATTCTTAGGTCTCAATTATTATTTGCCATGATTTCTATTGACAAAAAGCTATCATACCTTTTCAGTTATGTAGATGCAGTTTCATTTAAATATGTAAATTCCCAGACTTTACATCCCCATATCTTTATTATTAGAGAAACTCCTATAGAAAAACTCGATCTTAGCTAAATGTTCTCCTTTGGGACTGGCAAGACAGCTCAGCAGTTAAAGCCCCTGCTCAGGCAAGCTTAGGCAAGCCTAGGGACCCCATATCTGTTCCCGGCATGGTACCACACAGCCCTACCCAAGAGCAGGCTGAGCCAGCTTAAAAAAAAAAAAAAAAAAAAAAAAACCTCCCTTGAATCCAGTTTTAGACAATTATCTTCATAGTAACCAAGTCATCATGACAAAAATAAATTTTAAAACCTTGAGGGGAAAGAAGATCTTGTAAGAGTTGGGGATGTAGCTCAGCAGCATAAGCGCCTGCTTGACAAGTGCAAGGCCCTGAGGTTCATCCCCAGTATATATATAAAAAAAGACCTTGCAAACAACTGCTGATAAAAGTGAATCCTGGCTCCCAATGAATGGCTATAAAATCAGAAAAAAAGAGTAGACTGGAATATTGTATCTTTTGCTCTAGAAATTGCTGGACAAAAAACAATGAATTCCTTTCTCAGTGAATTAAATCTAGTATATGTGTATGGAAGTAGAGATGAGAGTTGAGAAGGAAGACTCAGAAGTAACTTTTATAATTTATTTCATTTTTTGAAACTAATTAGCTATTAAAATACACTAAAAGCAAATAATGAAATTATAGTGTAATTGCTGTACTCCAGTAAAGCTTATTTCTTTGTTTGAAATCAATGAGCTATGCAATGAAAGAATAAACAAAATTGTGTTTTATGATTGCTCTACTTCCATAAAACTTACAGAGCTCTACAGTTAGTCTGGACTTAGTTTTACATTCAGTAGGCATTCAATAAGTGCTGTTGATTGACTGAGCACAAAGCCAAGGCAATGTGTATACTGAAAAATTCAAAATAGTAAAAATGTCTACTTCATTCTCCCCAAATTGGTTTGTAAGTTAAATATAATTCCTATCAAAAATCAAGCCAAAACTTTCAAGACATAGACAAGCTCATTGTGAAATTTATATAGAAAGGTACAAGTTCCAAAATGACTGAAACAGTCTTTTTGAGATAGGGTCTCACTAGGCAATTCAGGCTGGCCTGAACTCACTATGTAGTCCAAGCTTGCCTCGAACTCACAGCAATCGTCTGCCCCAGCCTCCCAAGTGCTGGGATTACAGGTGTGTGCCACCACACCCGGCCCCTCTAAAACAGTTTTGGCAAAAAAAATGAAGTGGGAGCAATCAATCTTATGATTTCAAGAACGATTGCACTGTGGTATAAGTGGAGAGATTGACACATGGACAAGTGGAACAGAATAAAGAACCCAGAAATCAGCTTACACAAATGCATGCAAGCAAGTGTTGGTGAAGGTGCAAAGACAATATAGTGGAGGAAGGAAAGCAAACAGTGCTGGAGCAACCTGATATCTTTAAACAAAAAAAATAATAACTTGAACTAAGCTTTATGCTTTACTTACAAAATTAACTAAAAATGAAAAATATATAATTTTCAGAAAAAAAACAGGAGAAAGTCTTCCAGATCTCGATGAGGTAGATTTCTTAAATTCAACTTAAAAATACAAAAGAACAAAATCCTGAAAAGAAAACAATCATAGATTGGACCTCATAAAAACTAAAAACTTGTGCTAGGCATGGTCACCACACACCTGTAATCTCAGCCCTCAGGAGGCCGAGGCAGGAGGGTTGCCGAGTGCTTGAGGCCAACCTGGTCTACATAGGCGAGTTCAAGACCAGCCTGCAAAACAGAGTGAATCCTGTCTAAAACAAACAAATAAACAGAAAAGAAAAGAAAAGTAAAGTGTTTTGACTTTTTTTCCCTGTATTTAGGACGGTGTCCACAGGGTCTACAGGGTCTCACTATGTAGATCAGACTCGTAGTGATTCCCCTGTTTTCAGCCTCCGAAGTGCTGGGATTACAGGTGCGCACCACCATGCCCAGTCTCAATAGCGGGCTCCGCACACCCCGGGGGCAGGGTCAGCACAGCATGCCAGGGATTGAACCCCAGCCGCTGCACTCTGCCTAAGCAGGTGCTTTAGTCTGCTGAGCTATCAGGCTGGCCCTGCATTTGAAAGGTTTTATGAACAAGATTAAAAAACTATAGACTGGGAGAAGATATTTGTAAACCATCTGACAAAACAGTAATATTTAGAATATGAAAAAAACTTAAGACTCAACAATAAAAAAAACATTTTAGAAAATGAGCAAAAGGCATGAACAATTAACTTAAGCACAGATGGATAGATATGATATGATATGATATGATATGATATGATATGATATGAGCTTATGACATGTTCAATGTCATTAGCTATTAGGGAAATCTAAATTAATATCACAATGAAATTAGTATACATTTATCACGATGTAGTGATAGAATGTAGTGATACAGCGGCTAAAATAAAAAGTAGTGACAACATTTAATGCTACTCAGGAGATAAATAAACTAAATCACATATATTATTGCTGGAAATATAAACTGGTACAATCTTCACATCAGTTTCTTATAAAGCTCAACATATACTAGCATACAATTCAGTAATTGTACTTATGGGCATTTATCCTAGACAAATGAAGAGTTATATTCACTTAAAAAGCTATCTACAACTTTATTTAAAGTAGTCAAAAACTAGAAACAATAAGCCATCAAGATAGCTCAGCAGACTAAGGGCCTTCTTAGGCAAGCGCAGGAACCAGAGTCAGATCCCCGGCGCCACATGCCTTGCCAGCCCTGCCCCTGGGCGCGCTGAGCCGGCCCACCAAGACCCAGAGTGGTGGCACTTGCCTGTAATCCCAATGCTGGGGAGGCTGAAAACAGGAGGATCACTCTGAGTCCAAGCTATACAGTGAGACACTGTACCAAATACACAAAAAACCCTAGAAACAACCCAGATGCTCTTTAATGAACGCAGAGTTAAATCATTACATTCATACCATAGAATATGACCCCACAATTTAAAAAAGGAGCAATCTATTGACATAAGGAAAAACTTGCATGGATCTTGAGGAAATTGTGTTGAGTGTAGAAAAAGTAATCTGAGACATTGTAAGCTATCATATAACATCCTACAAATGACAAAATTACAGAAGTGGAGAACAAATTAATGGTTACCAGATATTAAGGACTAGGGGTGCGATCAGAGGTGTATAAAAGAGTAGGATAAGAAATCATTGTAGTGATGAAACTACTTAGTATCCTGAATGTGTAGATGAATACATGAACTTACATCTGGGATAAAACTGCATAGACCTAAGCGTGCATACACACACACACACACACACACACACACACACACACAAATATATGATTTCACTAAGATTGGTAAATTCTAATGATGTCAGTTTCCTATTTGTGGTATTACAATAGTTTTGCAAAATCTTATAAGGGGTACTGAGTCTCTTTTAGTTCTTAAACTGCATGTGACTGTATAAATATTTCAAAATAAAAAATTTAATTGAACAAAGCAGCCAAACCATAGTACTTTTGTATTTTGCCCAACTTTCTACAAGCCTACAGTAAGGTTCCCAATTCTCAGGTTCTAGATGGACTCACCTTAAAACTAGATCTTACAATTGAAAACTAAAGGGATGAACAGAAGTTTCAAATTCATGATCCTTCCAGATCCCATGACAAGACCCATACACTCAAAGATCTGGTCTGTTTTGATTCAATGCTGTATTCCCAACTCACACTCAACAAATGTTTACTGAACATATAAATGAATGAACAAATTAACTCCCAACTGACTCTCTCTTTCCTTTCCACTCATGATCCTCTTCAAATCCACCAAACAGACACACACATATGAGACTAACCTTTTGTTTTACTTTCCGGAACCTTTTCTTTCTGACATTCTTAAGTGGTGGAGTAACTAAAAACAAATACAACAGGGTGAACCATACAAGATTGATGGTAGTCAAGTGTCTATCCAAATTTGATAAAGAGCCACTGGCTCATGATATGTCTTCTCCTTTTTTTTTTTTTTTTGTATTTCAGGATAAAGTCTACAGGGTCTCACTGCATAGATCAGACTCATAGTGATCCTCCTGTTTACAGCCTCCCAAGTGTTGGGATTACAGGCTCGCTCCACCACACCCAGTCTCCAGCACTGTCTCAGTGTACTCCGCACCCTGGGGGCAGGCCTAGCAGGGCAGGCCTGGGGATCGAACTCCCAGCCCCTGCATATGCCTAAGCAGGTACTTTATTCCACTGAGCTAGTTGGCCATCCCTGCCTTTTATAAGTATATACGAGCTGAAATGAACCAGGCAAGAGACCCTGATTCGTAAGAAATTAGGACTCAGCAGACAAATATAGCAGGCTGTAATGAGCAATGGGCTGGTGACTTACTTCCATGCTTCCAGGTATATTTTTTATCCACCTCTTTTTCCTCATTCCTGGTTCCACTAAGATCAGCAGAGGCAACTGACTTTTCCGGAGAAGATTGGAGGTTACCAGCAGGTTGGCACACAAGCATCTACATTTAGCAAAGACAAAGGTGTTAACTATGGTAACAAATCCTGAGTTATGGGCAATCGCCACCAGCATCCTGGAATTTCCAGAAAAAAAAGTACTGTGTAATGTACATTCATATCCCCTTGTATTTCTACCTCCTCCCTTCCTCCCTCCCTCTTTCTTTCCCTCCCTCCCTCTCTACCTCTTTCCTTCCCTTTCTTTTCTCTCCCAGCAGCACTGTTTGTCAACTGTGAATTCTGAAACTACAGTTTTTACCACTGCAGAGAGGATATACTGAAAAATACATATATCTTAGCATTTTTACTTATAGAGGAAATAAGAAATCCATCCCAAAGATATAAGAAGCAATCTGTAAAACATTCAGAAGAAAATCCCAGATGCTCATATTTCTACATTAATGAAAGCCACTATAAATAGCAAACAGGGAGCAGTGCAAGCCATTTGGATAAAATGTGGTAGTAAAAGCTAAAGATCAAACATCGAACAAAAACGCGCCATTATATTCCTGTGAAATTGACATGGAAATAAGTGGCAGGCAGCCATTCAAGTGGATGCTACTGAAAGAAAGAAAGAAAAAAGGATGGAGGAAGAAATTCCTCAAAGGATGTAAGATCCAGAAAAGGAAAATTCATACCTGTGAAATATCTGCTGTTTTATAAAAGGTTTTTCTATCAAAAGTTTTCAGACTTCCCACAACACATGGCAAATCAACCAGTTTAGCAGATAGTGAGACGTTGTCTACCTCAACAACTGCATGGCGTCCATCAGCTAAATAGGAGTGGAGAAGATTAATGTTGACATTCAGAAATCACAAAGCTTATATGCAAGAGGTTACCAACTGAACAAAAATCTACAGTGATATCCAAGCTCTTCATTATGTACACTGTGGTGATTACCATAAGTTGCATGATTTCTACTTCCTTTCCCCTTGAAAAAGGTGTAACTTACTCAAGACTCTAAACTGTGAGTCCAAGGGCTGGGGAGATGGCTCAGTAGAATAAGTGCTTGCCTGGCAAGTGCAAGGGCCTGAGTTCAATCCCCAGTTCTGCCAAAAAGTAAAATAAAAAATAACTAAACTAAACTGTGACTCCATTGAGATACAGGCCACTTTCTATTCTTTTTCATGTCTTTAACACTTAGTATACTGCTCAGCATATAGAAATTCTTTAAATAAATGATTTCTCACTGGGAATGTAGCTCAGAGGCACAAGTGCCTGCCTTGCAAGCACAAGGTCCTGAGCTTTATTTCCAGTACAAAACAAAACAAAAATATTAATAAATGATTGCTCAATTGATATTAACCACTTACAAGACAAGTCGATTTTTATTTTATCCTTCCTGGCAGCACTTCCAGAGCGCATTATGTTCCTGACAGTAGAAGCATGTTCCTAAAAAAGAGGTAAATCGAAAACTTCGTATTGTCTATTTAGCAGTTAATAGATATACCAAAAAGAATCCTCTCTTAAAGCAAACTTGTCTGTCCAAAATGTTACCAACAATGGACAATGAGAAACTGCATTGTGTGCCTCAAGTTAGGATGAAGCCAACCCTAATTTCATCGTTTGTCTTTTAGTAGTTCTAGTTAGTGCCATCTGTCAGTTCTACATTTCTGCCACTCAGTGCTCCCCTTAAGGTACAGGCACTAAGGAAAAGCTTAGATACAGTTCACTAGGCATATTAATTAACCTTAATCAGACAAATATCTTTCTGAATGCAATCCATAACATATCATCCTAAATAATGCTTGAATCTAGTTCTCAGTTGGGTAAGAATTTCAAACACAATGTTAAGCTACACTTTAATAACTTTGCAAGGTGATAAATTTGCAGGAGATATGACGATAGTCATTTTTACTGTCCCTTTTAAGAACACAAAGACTTTTAGAAGAGTATTGGCTATCCAGCAAACAGGCTGCTAGTGCCCATGATAAGTGGCTGGCCCTATCACTGTCACAGCCCTTTGGCCACAAAATTAACCCACATACTACGTGATATGCACAGGACGAAAGAAAGTGTGCTAGAAGGACACATACTAGAACTGGGCTGCTTAACAGAATATGATTGCTGAGAACAAATGTACTGAATTTTTAAAAGCTTGAAAAAGAAATGTTGACAAATCAAAGAAGAAGTACATTTTTGGTCTGCAGATATTCCTCTGATATGCAAAATTTTCTTACCGGAGGCAGACGCAATATAAACTGATTTTCAAGTTCATGAGGAGGTTCATCTTCGCTTTTACTCATGTCTTGTTTTTGAGTTTATGAAAACAAAAAGAAAACCAACAATTACTAAAAACTCCTCTTGCTCCCCCTGCTGACCACTTCTGGTAGTACTGGTTAAATGACTACAAGTTCTTCAGAATAATCCTCAATGGAATGACGTATGCACAGTTAAGCAATAACTTATTTGACATATCTTGATTATTTCTAAAAGACACATCATATCCCTGCTAATATGTACAGATTTTTCAAAGTCAATAGAAAATACATGGTGTCATTTGATGAACAAAGGACCTAAGAGATGATATGAAATGTGATTTAGTCTTAGTAAGATTCTCAGACTCTCATGTAAAGAAGGAAAATTCAACACACAGTGGTGGCACCCTAAGCAAACTAAGTGACCTCCTCAGGGAACAGTGCAAGCCAAAGGCAGGGCTAACCCAGAAACCATTTGCGGGAATGTTCTATGATGATTAAATGTAAACAAAAGGTTAATTTTCAATATTTCACTTGCCTTAATGAACTGATAGGAATTTAGAGAGCATGCAGCTGTTTGTGACTCTGGAAAGCACATCTAACCTTCAGACTGACATTGCCCCTCATTTTTTGAGTGAAAAGAACTTGTCTTGAGTTACTTATACATACATAGGTAATAAAGCTTCCTTAAAAATATTTTATTTATAACATTTAAAAATAAGGGGCCCGGGGAGACGGCTCAATAGAATAAGCGCTTGACTAGCAGGCAGAAGGGCCTGAGTTCCATCCCTGGTTCCACCACAAAAAAAAACAGGAGGGCAATGCACCACAGGTTAGAGCTAGTACCAACAGCTCTAATCTACCTTGGGGAACATTTCGGAGTCCACTTCTCAAAGCTAGGCCATGTGTATGAGTGTACCTAACTTAGAACTAAAACTTTGATTTAATTCATACATTACTGACATTTTTGGCATTTGTTCTATGTACCTCATGCTACATGGAGTGCTTTAGGTCTTTTATTTCATTTAATCCTCAAAATAACTACTTGCTTGAAATGCCCCCAAAAGTTATTTAAAACGAACCTCAGATGGATCCTTTTATTTAAAAAACACACCTTCATGAAAGTGAATCATCCTCACCCAAGTTATTAGGACATTTTGACAATATAAACACCTATAATGATGGAGCACATGGTGATATTATGACACGTGTACACTGTGACATGATTGCATCAAGCTAACTCATCATTCATTCCTCCTCAGTGCAACTTTCTACGTTTTGCCCAACGTGCCCATTCCTGCGCTCAGCAGCCTCTAGTAACTACCACTCTACCCTTTGCTTCTGTAAGTCTGATTTCTTTAGATTCCACACATGCAAGTGAGGACATGTGGTGTTTGAGAACATATGATCCTTGTCTCTTTGTGCCTGGCTTATTTCACCTAGCATAGTGCCCTGCAGATTCATCCATGTTACCAGTGACAAAACTGTGCTTTCCAAAAGCTTGAATAGCATTTCACTGTGCACACAGACCATGTTTTATCCACTTATTCCCTGAAGAACTAGGCAGGATGTGTAAGCTGGCTATTGCAAGTAACACTGCAGTGAACATGTGACTGCAGGTATCTCCTTGACATGCTCATTTCAAGCCATGAAGTGGGACTGGAAGATTTCAAGTTCATCTTTATTTATAATCTTATTTTTCATTCACTTAGGTTGCATCTCCAGTGGCTTGTATTTTAGCTATAGGGGCTCATACTTCTGATGATGCTTTTAGTCAAATATTGAAGAAATATATATATATAAATGTGAAATTTGATGAAGTTTTTATGTTGTAAAAACACTGTCACATACATCAATTTACAAGATCTTTTATCTAAACTTAAAGTGAAAATTTTCAGTTAATGTGGTTGTTGATAGTCTGTAAACTGTTAAGTGGGATTTTAATTTTGAACCCGAATCTCACTGAAAAGCATTGGCTTCTTCTGACACACAGAACTGAGTCTGGGACCATATTCGGGTGAAGTTATTCACTAGTCATGAACTAAACCTTTACGTGTAACTTCAGAAAGTATGAGAAAGGTATAGAAAACACAAAGAAATCAGTAGTGAAAGACATACAAGGTGTAGGTAGCTGATGCATTATCTGTGGCAGTTATTTGTCCTCTTTTTTCTTATAAATAAATGTGTATGTATGCATACATATATAAATATAAGAGTGACAAATAAATATAAGAATGTAAACGAAATAAGGACTCCTGGGGCTGGGCACAATGCCTAACCAGAGAAAACAGGCAACACTTCAAGCTGGGAGCAGAAGCACAGGTTACTTGAAGTAGCTGCTAAGCAAGATTTTATCAGATCAACAGTAACTTTTAGAGTTCTCAGCAGACGTAGGACGAGGGCATTTTGTTCGTTTCACTGCCTCTCTGGCAACTCCTCGTTTGTGGAAAAAAAAAAAAAAAGAAAACAGAAGAACTGAAACTGTTTCAAAGAAGCTCCTTGTAAATCACTCTAATAGAAGGTCCGGTGAGCAAGAAGGTGGAAACATGCTCGAAATGAGTTGGAATTGTTTGTAAAGTTTGTTATCTACATGTACCCAAAGCCCTGGACGGTATATAGTGTAAGAAATGCACACACTTTTTCTCTGCAAGCACTATATTTGATGCGTAATTAAATTAACAGGATCGCTGTCCACCATTCATTCACTCTTAACTCCGTGTCACTTTAGCAGAATTACAGTTGGACTAAGCAGAAGGGAGCCTTCTAGCAGTGAGCGCCGCCAGCAAACCGTAGTTAGCAGAAACCGCGGTCAGTGCGTGTTTTAAGTTCGTACCGCGGGCTGCAGTTTGGAGCAGCAACCCCCGTCCCGCGTCCCGCTCGTTGTCTTTCCCCCGGAGCAGAGCTCCGCTCCTGGAGCTTTAGCGCATTTCCCACGAAAATCCCCAGCGCGGCGAAGTGGCCCCCGCTTCGCACCTCGCTGTGCAGGCGGGCTGAGGAGAGTGGCGAGGCGGGTTGACCGCGCGGCCCGCCGCCCGCCGCGCTCCCGGGAGCCCAGCGGACTCACCCGTCCCTCCACCGTCTCCCTCCGAAGAGCCTGCGGGCCGGGTCCTGCGCATCGGCCTGGGGAGCTCCGGGCGGGCGGCGAG